GGGTCCCGTCCATAGGACGATTGGGGTAGGCCATCGCAAGGCCCCCGAAAGCATGGAGCTAGTTCAGCTCGCTAGCTCCTTCCTCCCCAGCGGATTATACGTCTTTGGTTACTTCTGGGGTTCAACGTCCACCCAGGGCACAATTCCCTAGGGACAATTCTCTTGTGACCGCAGTGAATGGCACCGCCAGCAGGGCGTTCAGGTCCCGTCCATAGGACGATTGGGGTAGGCCATCGCAAGGCCCCCGAAAGCATGGAGCTAGTTCAGCTCGCTAGCTCCTTCCTCCCCAGCGGATTATACGTCTTTGGTTACTTCTGGGGTTCAACGTCCACCCAGGGCACAATTCCCTAGGGACAATTCTCTTGTGACCGCAGTGAATGGCACCGCCAGCAGGGCGTTCAGTGGCAGAAGACAGATGGATGTGACAGAGAACAGAAGGCTGAAAAATCAAACAGTTCTTAGCCCAGAGCCAGCACGCAAGATAACGCCGGCGGAGAGGGACAAACCAACGTTGAATTAAAAACCTCCCTGATTGATTTCAAAGCCAGCAGAGACCAGTGTGATAATCTAGTCTGACCTCCTCATGGCACAGGCCAAAGCTACACACAGTGATCACTGCATGAGCCCCATTTGGAAATTCCAAACTTGTTGCGGCACAGTTATTAGTACCCCTAGCTAACTATCCTCATACACTCTATCTATATAAATGAATGGAGATATGTATCTCCTAGAATTGGAAGGGACCTTGAAGGTCATTGAGTCCAGTCCCCTGCACAGCACAACCACCCCTGACAGATTTTGCCCCAGATCCCCAAATGGCCCCCTCAAGGGGTTGAACTCACAGCCCTAGGTTTGGTAGACCAATGCTCAAACCACAGAGCTATGCCTCCCCTGACACAGTTGTCAGTACCTCTAGTTAGCTAGCTAGTTATCCTCATACACTCTATCTGTCTGTCTGTCTATCTTCATATACTACATGTATCTAGCTATCTAGCTAACTAGGAAAGATGATCAACTGCATCTATCTATCACAGAATTTTCTATACATACTGATCACTCGGTATCTAAATATTTTCATGGCCTGCATATTACTATGTAACAACTCATTGATGTAATACATACCAGTGAGCAAAATCCAACCAGTCTCTACAATCTCTGACAGAGCAAAAAAATGCGCGTGGCATACATTTTTATAAGGGATACGCAAGCCAAACACAATAACACACATGGCGGTGAGTTTCATTGGCTTTGTGCTATACAAAAGCTAAAAATTAGTGACCATTCTAGTGGGCCATAGTAACAAAAGAGTGACAAAGTCGGTACCTGTAAGAAGTAGGAGCTCATGGGGTCCTCTTTGTTGTCCTCGTTGTAATACAGTCCACCTGCTATGAAGATCTGGTTCTCTTTGGTTACCAGGCTGACGTGATTCTTTGGGATCTGAGACGAGATGGAGGCAAAGTAGCATTCGTTAGCGCTGGGGTCATAGGCCACTGCCCCGGTACTGCTAACCATGAAGATGAGGTCCTGGAGGAACATCCCAAAGCGCATTGTGTCATTCAAGATCCCTGGGAGCATGTCCTCCTCGATATCGTCCCCCTCGTCCACACCTCCATTGACGATGCTGTCCCCATCTTTCTTCTCATCGCTTTTCTTCGCCACCTTCTTTTTCACCACTGTGAGTTTGCCTTCGTTGGCATCCTTCACCATCTGGATTTTCTTGAGCAGCTCCGGGCTGGATTTCACAATGGGATGCTTCTCCACATGGTCCTTGAGGTATTCCTTGGGCATGAGGCGGAAGCGGATGCTCTCAAAGACCACCGGCAAGGCCTGAAGCCGACTCTCGTGGTCCTTGGCAGCCGCCCATTTCATCACCACCTCGAAGACGGCCTCCTCCTTCTCAATGTTGAGAGAGTCGCTGGAGATCACAGCGATGAGCTCATCGGGGGAGAACTGGTAGAACTCCTCGTCCCGGGAGATCAGGACAAAACGGTCGCAGATGAAGTCCCGGGCAGCCACCGCCAGGCGGGCGCAGTCCAGCATCAAGCCCAACCTGAAGACGGCCAGGCAGTTGCTGAGACAGAGGCGCTTCTGCAGGAAGGAGACGCAGACTGTGAAGATGGAGGGGATCTGGAACATGTTGGCCACAGAGAAAATGTCCTGCACGTTCTGCTCCGTGATCTCCAGCTCGGAGGTGTAGATGTAATGAAGGATCTTGTGCATGACTTCGGGGTCCACATCCTCCAGGTTGATCTCCCTCTTCTTGCTCTCCTCCATGTCCGAAAGGAACATGGCCCGGAAATAGGGGCTGCAGGCGGCCAGCACCAACCGGTGGCAGGGGAATTCCTTCCCCTTGACTTTCAAGACACAATCCAGGAACTTGTTGTGGTCCAGCATATCTTTGAGCCCGTCCTGGAGAAGCGTCTGCTGGTAGAGACGCAGCTCCTCTGCTTGATCTATCGGCAGCGTCATGCTCGAAAGTAGCGTAGTTTGCGCTTCTTTGTTTTTCTTATCCCTCGGCAGAGAGACTTACCCGAACCTGGGCGTGCGGCTCTCCCCTGCTTCCCGGGAGCTGGGCGTGCTAAGAATGTGAAGCACTTGCTGCTAATACGAGGAGCTGTATGTCCCAGCCTCAGCGAGGGGCTTTATATATAACCACAGCCTGACAGAGCATGTGTAAGCCGATCACCCTCTAACATGACACATTGGACAACCAGGCTGAGGGAACAGCTGTACGATAGCCTGGAATGGTGACAGCCCATGAATCAGTGCTACAGGATCTGGGCTTTTCCGGAAGGCCAGCGTGTGACCAACTGCCTTCGTCATAGGTGAAATGACTTTTCCTTCAGATGGATCAGAAAGGGGAAAAAACCCTACCCCCTCGCTGGTGAGCGGGTTATCCTCCCCCTCCCTCTCTTCAACAGCCAGTGCTGGACTCACCCAGCTAAAAATACGCAATGAAGCTAAATCTTTAAATACGCAACGAGGTATCGAATTGTACTGTCATTGTGATGCAGCCAAAGCTATGCCGGTCATTTGGAGAGATGATTTTTCTGGGGGTGCTGGAGGAGAACGGGAGATAATCCCATGATCTGCTCCTGAGTAAGTGTTTTACATGCTCGGCTGTGCATCATGGGCTCTCTACTGGAAGCAGCTAAAGGAGATTCTCCTAGCGCACATGTGGTAGAGGCCTGTGATTTTGGAGCATGAGGATCTGGGGGTCTGTTCTGTCTGTGATATTTATATAGAACCCCATCCCTGTCGTGTCTGAGCCCCTCACAGTTTTAATGTATTTATCCTCCCTCCCCCTCTGGGAGGCAGGAGGGGGCTACTATCCCCATTGTACGGATGTGGAACTGAGGCACAGAGAAGTTAACTGATTTGTCCAAAGCCACATAGGGAGCCTGGTGAAGCAGGGACATGAGGCTGACATCCTGTCCACTGGTCCATCTTCCTTCTCTATTGCCCACTATTTCCCACTGTCTAGAGCTGGCTGAAAAAAAATCACCAATTTTCAATGGAGACGTTTATAGAAACTTCTGAGAAAGAGGATCCAGGTTTGGGGCCAGCTCTGTTGCTGCCTGTGTGACATTCCCAATGGCCAGGGGATGTAGCATCACGACACCTGTTATTATTACAATACTAAAGTACAATTGTGACAACTCAAAAAAGCTCCCAGGCACATTTCACAAGTGACGAGCCAGGCAGGGAACCTTTATGTTCACCCTGTTTCGTTAGTGTTTATATTTAGACATCAACGTTTCAGTAACAAAGGACAATCCCTCCCCCTACTCTTTTCCCTCCCCCTCCCAGTAAATATTAATAGTGCATCTACATTATAAGGAAACCCAGGCGTTGATCCAGATTTGAACCCTACCCGCTTTCCCAGCCACGCAGAAGATCCTTTGACCTAGGTTTGCAGGTGGTTTACACCTGAGCTAGCTTAGCCAGCAGGGTGTCGAGTTAGAACCTGGCTCTGCTTTACCTCTGTAGCCTGGGACCTGCCTACTTTGCGGGGAGGATGCAGGATAAGTCTCTGGAGCCCTGATGGTTCTCCAGTGTCTTCCCACAATCCCCCCCAAAGACAGGCAAGTTTGCTGGCAATTATCACAAGACTCTGAGAACAAGGACCCTGGGGACATGACTCTAGAACACACTGGAGCCTGCAGAAACAGTGAAGGTGCAGTCATCTGGGCTGGGCGTGGCATTGGCGTTGCTCACCCCTGGGCTAAGCGCACCTCTGTGCTCAGCCTAGTGCGAGTTCTGATGGGTTTGATCACAGAGATCCCCTGGAGATGGTCACCTGATGGGCTGATCATACCACCTACCTGTCCTCGGGGGCGCCCTGTCACCCCGTCCTTCTGAGCCAGACCCTCTGGTCACCTCCAGCAAAGGCACAGAGGTGGGGTCACCGCCCACAGCAGAGCAACGCAGACACGAAGAGCAGCTCAACTCTGGGTGGGCTTAGTCACGGAGACTTGACACAGCACCCAGGTGCACTTCCCCAATGGGATCAGAACCCCAGCTAAATCCATCTGACTCTGCACAGCAGTTTTATACAGAAGGGCTGTGTCTACACTGCCCCCTTTTTCCGGAAAAGGGATGCAGATGAGACAAGTCGGAATAGAAAATGCAGCGGGGATTTAAATTTTCCCCGCTCCATTTGCATGAACATGGCTGCCGCTTTTTTCCGACTCGGGGCTTTGCCGGAAAAAAGTGCCAGTCTTGACAGGGATCTTTCGGAAAATAAAGCCTTTTCTGAAAGGTCCCTTATTCCTCTTAAAATCAGGAATAAGGAATCTGAAGGGTAACAACACTTTTATCCCCCCTGCCTCAATAACAGAGAGACTGGGGATCCCACAGTGGCCAAAGTGACCATTTGGGCTGCTGTGAGCACATACTAGACAGGGTGGGTGTGTCTATGCAAATTGGGCTCAGCCCCTGAAGTCTCTTTGTACCACTTGCCACAGTTCACAACCAGATGTCAGGGTAGAGTTTACCTTGACCCCGCTTACACTTGCACTGAGTTTCATAATAAATGAAAGTGATTGTATTAAATAGAATCATAGAATCATAGAATAATAGGACTGGAAGGGACCTCGAGAGGTCATCGAGTCCAGCCCCCCGCCCTCAAGGCAGGATCAAGCTCCGTCTACACCATCCCTGACAGATGTCTATCTAACCTGTTCTTAAATATCTCCAGAGAGGGAGATTCCACCACCTCCCTTGGCAATTTATTCCAATATTTGACCACCCTGACAGTTAGGAATTTTTTCCTAATGTCCAATCTAAACCTCCCCTGCTGCACTTTAAGCCTATTACTCCTTGTCCTGTCCTCAGAAACCAAGAGGAACAAATTTTCGCCTTCCTCCTTGTGACACCCTTTTAGATATTTGAAAACCGCTATCATGTCCCCCCTTAATCTTCTTTTTTCCAAACTAAACAAGCCCAGTTCATGAAGCCTGGCTTCATAGGTCATGTTCTCTAAACCTTTAATCATTCTTGTCGCTCTTCTCTGTACCCTTTCCAATTTCTCCACATCTTTCTTGAAATGTGGCGCCCAGAACTGGACACAGTACTCCAGCTGAGGCCTAACTAGTGCAGAGTAGAGCGGCAGAATGACTTCACGAGTTTTGCTTACAACACACCTGTTGATACAACCTAGAATCATATTTGCTTTTTTTGCAACAGCATCACACTGTTGGCTCATATTCAACTTGTGGTCCACTATGACCCCTAGATCCCTTTCCGCCATGCTCCTTCCTAGACAGTCGCTTCCCATCTTGTATATATGGAACTGATTGTTCCTTCCTAAGTGGAGCACTTTGCATTTCTCTTTATTAAACCTCATCCTGTTTACCTCTGACCATTTCTCTAACTTGCTAAGGTCATTTTGAATTATGTCCCTATCCTCCAAAGAAGTCGCAACCCCACCCAGTTTGGTATCATCTGCAAACTTAATAAGCGTACTCTCTATCCCAATATCTACATCATTGATGAAGATATTGAACAGTATGGGTCCCAAAACAGACCCTTGAGGAACTCCACTTGTTATCCCTTTCCAGCAGGATTTAGAACCATTAACTACAACTCTCTGACTACGGTTATCCAGCCAATTATGCACCCACCTTATCGTGGCCCTATCTAAGTTATATTTGCCTAGTTTATCAATAAGAATATCATGCGAGACCGTATCAAATGCCTTACTAAAGTCTAGGTATATGACATCCACCGCTTCTCCCTTATCCACAAGGCTCGTTATCTTATCAAAGAAAGCTATCAGATTAGTTTGGCATGACTTGTTCTTCACAAACCCATGCTGGCTATTCCCTATCACTTTATTACCTTCCAAGTGTTTGCATATGATTTCCTTAATTACCTGCTCCATTATCTTCCCTGGGACAGACGTTAAACTGACCGGTCTGTAGTTTCCTGGGTTGTTCTTATTCCCCTTTTTATAGATGGGCACAATATTTGCCCTTTTCCAGTCTTCTGGAAGATAAAAGAGTATATAAGAGGTTGCAAGTGATAACAGACAGATGAAAGTAAGTTACTAAGCAAAATAAAATAAAACATGCCAGCTAAGCTTCAGACTCTAAAAACTAGTTACATGAAATTTCTTACCCTAACAATAGTCGTAATGCTCTTTTCTCACACACTAGGCAACCTCCTAACTTGGGCACCATCTGTTCCTCTGTTCAGTCTTAGATATTTCCAGCAATCATCAGGGTGGCAAGCAGGAGCTGTCCTGGTGTCTCGCATCTGCCAACTCCCCTATTGTTTGGATCCCTGCCTATAAATAGATTTTGCCCAAGGTGAGAATTCTTTGTGCTCAGTTTCAACTCTTTAATATCCCCATGGGAAAGTACCATATCCAAAATAGTTTCCAGAATCAGGTAAGTGGGCCACATGTCTTGGCAGGACCAACCATAGTCCAGGCTTAAAGCTTTAAGACTTGTTTAAGAAAAACAAGACTATTCACAGATCATTGTGTTGAGCACTGGGCTATTAAGTTCCTTGAGTACAGCTAATGGCCTTCACTAGCACATCTAGATACACTTCAAATATAGAAATGATTCATGCACACACATAGAATATTCACATTCAGGTGATTACAAGCTCTCCAATGCTAGGCTACATGCCACATTTTGCACAAAGCATATTCAAGTTAGTCATGCATATTCAAAAATACGTTTTCATAAAAAATCTGAGATGCAACATCACACTAATCACCTGGGATAACTATGCAATGTAGATGAAGCCTAAAAGACACAAAGCCCCTCTCTGTACTGGGGCAATTTGTATCAATGTATGTTGCTGTGAGTCCCAAGTGCTGATGTGCTGCATTGGTGCAATATGGAGTTTGAAATGGTGAGGTGGGGCTCCCCCAAAAGTTAGCTCTGGTCGCCCACACATCAAGCTTTCATTCAGCAAAAGCTTCTACCTCACTTGGTAGAAATCTCTGGCCTGTGGAATGCAGGTGGCCAGACAAAATGATCAGAATGGTCCTTTCTCGAAGGGGTGCTGGTCCGGGGGTGGGCCATGGCCCCCCCAACTTTTTACTGGCTATAAGACTGAATGACAGGGAGAAGGGTGGGCTCTTGGGAG